ACCACGACAATTTCTGGCAGAACAAAGGTATTTACGACGTTTTTGTACTGGCACGACCATAGCCATTACTGACCCAGTGATGGGTTGCAAGACTCATGGGGGGAGCTGGAGAGACCCTTCAGAGCCAAACCTCCCCTGGCCTGGCCTGGGCATTGCTCAGCTGCTCTTCTAGGAACCCAACAGCCAGTGCAGGTTTTAGCAGCAGTTACCAGGCGACTGCAGCATTGCTCTGGTTTTGGAGAGCAAGCCGAGGCAACCTCAGCTCATTCTCCCCCAACGTGGCTGTTCAGCCAGAAGAAAGTGTGTTACTGCATCCCTCTGAGGGAAAAGCACTTTGCCTGGTGCTCTGCAACACGGGGCGGGGAGGGGCCGCTCAGGCTCAAGGTAGATTCGGTATCTGCGAGGGGAGGGAGCTCTCAGAGCAAGGGCAGGCGGTGGGCAGGCTGCATAGGTGCGCTGGAGTCCTGCATGGCGGGCTGCAAAGGGGTCAACTGGAGAAGCTGACGAAAGGAGCATCACTGAAACCCGGCGCTCCCTGCAAATATGAACTGATATTCGTGACACCCCTAACGTCAGGCAGGCATCGCACCCTTTTTCGGCTGAAGGAATGGGAGCCAACAATTCCTAGAGCTCAGCTGGATGCAACTCTCCTCTCTAACAGCACCAGGGTGGCTCATAGGACCAAGGGACGCAGAGCTGCATCTGAGTTGCTGTTTGCAAGTCGCTCGAGCTGTCAACGTATGGTGCTGCTTTCACAGGGGTCTAGGGCTGAGCCGAAACAGATGCGTATTGGCAAAGAAACTGCTCACGGTCATTAGGCCAAGAAAGCCAGGAGCAAGCAGAGGAAGAGCAGGCTATTTTCAGATGCCGGTGGAGAGTAGTCAAACCCCCAGGGTTTAGGGCAGACAGAGGCAAAGGAAGGGAATAAGGTCCATATTTGGTGAGGAGGGTGGGAAGAGAAATCTGACTATATAAACCCCACCGCTCAATTACAGAAGCAGTGCTGCCTGCCCGGAGGATATGCATTTCTGAACAAATGTTTGTAAACGTTCCCTCCAAGACTAGCACAGGCTAAAAGTTCAGGCTGCGAGAAAGGCAAACGTTTCCCCAAGGCAGTGACAGGACAGCGCAGCAGTTGCCAACCTTGCCGTGTTTAATACTCTTGTCTGTAAAATGGGGGAGCGTTTCCTACCTCCCAAAAAGTGAGGTAAGGATTTGCACCGGTGCTGTATTAATGCCAAGAGGTGGAGACTTATCAGCTTCCTTGTAATGCACATCTTCAGTATGTGTAAATATATACACGCTTTGAGATTTTAGTCATTTTATTCACATGTCAAACTAAAACAGGAAAAGGTTCCATGTCTTTGCACAAGTACAGCTCCACTGCCCTTGGTGGAAAGACATCAGTTCACAACAGGATTAAAACTTCATCACGTGTTTCTGACTGGCCCACATCTAGAAGCTGACACGTGGCAGTGGCCGCTGAACTTCACACACCCCCAGATATCTATAACGAAACTCCTCAATGCTAAAGAATCAGTTCAGCACTGCACACCACCGGAGCAAGCAAGGGGACAGAAGTACACCTGCCTCCCAACACTCCTCAGAGCAGCACCCGCATTTCTCTTCATTACAGAAGTGAGTGTATTTGTACTAAAACACCACTTTTTTTTTCCTGCCACAGTCCCTGCCTGCCCTACCTGGTCACGCAAGTGGCTCGAATCCTTAATGGTACAAAGGTCCTGCTAATGAAGTGAGTGAGTGAAGTTGCTGTTTTGAAACAGTGGGTACGAGTTTTCCAATAGCAAGCAGTTCCAGTCAACATGCCATCCATCCAATTTAGGCTTTATTTAGTGGAATGAGGTACTCAGATGCCATTTGAACTTTAAGTTACACTCTCAGGTTAAATTTTCCTTCATCTAGCTACTACTCTTTGCTTCATAAAATACTGACCTTTAGGGGTATACCCTCAACCGAGGAGACGAGCCTGACCACAGAGGTGCTAACACAATCCACATCAACTGACAAGCAAGGCATGTATGTAATTAATACAGGATTAGCAGTTCAAAGCATTAGAAACGCTCTGCTCTAATAAAAACTGGCCCAGGCTGAGGCAACTGAGCAATCAGTTGCATAGAAGAGCTGGTTCAGCTGTTGGACACGCCACAGCATAACCCAAAAAGGCAGCAGAGGAGCTCTTGAACTGAAGGTAGGGACTGTTAAAGACATTAGGACACAACAGAGAGACATCATGAATTTTTCTCAGAAACAACCACTAATTTGAGTACTCACACAATTTAAGGCACTTAAAAATAACCACGTCGCTTTACACCATGATATGGTGGAAGGTGAATTTGGGGATGCATTAATTTTCTCTCCATCTTTTAGACACTTTATGTCTAACATTTCAATATAATCAAACATGCTCCAGACCTACAGAATATCAAGATGCAGAACTATCTAAGACTTCATAGTTAAGTAGATGTTATTTACTCAGGGCTTGTTTTGCAGAGCCTGAGGATCTGTAACTCCCCAGAGACTTCAGTTGGCATCCCACGTGCTCAGGTTACATTTATGCTCCCCCCTTACATCTGCCCCCAATTCTGGCATACAGTCACAAGCCAATGTCTTCAGTAAGGGACCTCAAAATGGGAATGTCAAAACATTTCAGCATATTATAATTTCGAGAGATCAACACAGCAGGACCTGGAATTTAATATTTTTTTTCAAAAAAGACATACTTAATTTTTCCAAGATCTCTTCGTCTGACATTTTTGGCTTTTTCTTTTGTTTCTCCGTGTTCCTGATCAGCATGTCAGACGCTGTTGTGCTGTTTTCCGAGGGAGAAGAAATAGGAGAGGTTGCCACATCTCTGGTAGGAGGAGGAAGGGGGTCTATCACAGAGCGGGTGTATATCTAATTTTGTTGAGAAAAAACATACGTTTTAATACAAATCAGATGAAGACTTAAACACTTCTATTCATCTTGTTACTGTTCTTGTTGTGGTCAGGGATGCATTTCTACAGCTGCTTTGTTAACAGCTACCACCATGAAGCAAGGACTCTCTCGTGTCCCCCCACGACTAGGCAGGGGATAACACGAAGGTTCGCTGCCAAAAGGAATGGCTCCCCCCTCCTCCCTCCTGCTCCCAAGAAGGGCTCAGCCCCACGCCTGCAGCGTGGATGAGTTGCCACCATCAAAACCGACTGTGACCGCAGCGGCAGGGGCTGAAGGAGGTACTTCTGCTCACAGATTTTGTGTGTTCAGGTCGCGGCGCTATCACGGGGGGTGGAGCTGCATCATCTTCGTCATCTTCATCTTCAGACACGGAGGGCACTGCAGGGGTCTCGGAGACAGCCTTCACGTTCTGCAAGAGGTTACACAAGTATCAAAACTGAAAACCCCACTGCTTGTCACGAACAAAACCACAAACGCCGGGTTAAGCTCCTAACAGGCTGCACTGAAGCAAGCGCAGGTAAATAACAATCAGAACAGGCTAGCAAGTTACAACACCTGAAAAATCCAAACCCCAAATATCCCGAGCCTTTGTGGGAAATGGAGAGGCAGTCCAGCACTGCCTGACACAACTGCTCAGACAGGGCTTGTCAGCTGCCTGCGCGATGGCAATCCTGTCCCCCAGGGCTTGAGACCCACCTGGGCTCTCTCACTGCCTTCCCCAAAACCACATGGCAGACCCAGCAATTCTGGGGACAACATCTGGGTTTGGAAATATCCACCCCTATTTATGTTGCCTCTTCTGGTTTGCTGCTTGCTTCAAACCCCGATTATGCAGACTGGAGATTTCAGTCTTTAAATGCTTTAATTTGCATCAAGATCTTAATGTTTCCTCTGAAAGTCGGGAGGTTGAGTTAACATCAGCTTCAGTATTGTGACTGAGAACTAAGAGATTTTGGAAGCAGAATCTGGTAAAATCTTCTAAAATCCCTTTTTAAATCTTCTAAAATCCCTTTTTAAATTGCTTTCTAAGAGAAAATTTTAGGAAAAACAGGAACAATGCGAGTTTTTTTAAAAGCAGTTTTATAAGTGGTTAAAAAAATCTGGACTTTTTTGCAATACTGTGATTAGAAATCAAAGTAACTTTTAACCTTTTAAATCTGAAACTGGAGTTGAATTTCATAGCACGCTTTACACTACAAGCGTTTCAAAATAAACTCGGCGAGAGCCTTAACCCACTAGATCAGTTCTGCTTGTGCATCATCAGCTCCCCAAGAGTGGCAGGGGAAAAAGTAAAGTTCTCTCTGAAAGAGGGGGAAGACAACGTAGTATGTCACTGAACCTGAAACACTTGCAGTCACCAGCACCCTGACAGATAAGTGCTAAAGCACACTTGATGTAACGCAACAGCTTAGCCTGTTAAAAGCAACAGGAAAAACCACCTATCTACTGGGAATCCCCTGAATATCCCCAAAACTAAATATTACTCAGTATCTTCCAAAAACATCAGGCTATCCCAGTAGACTGGTACCTACTGCTTTTTCCAGGATTTACTGTAAAATCCAACAGCCTCAGATATTCTAAACTCCTGAGGACTGACGTTCAAAGACGTGTAAAAATGAACAACGGCAGAAACGTTCTCCTTTTCACAGAGAGTCCTAAACAGTCAGATCCAACTATGCTGCCTCCAGAAGGGAGCAGAACAAGCCAACTCTAGATAACGCCATGGCAGTGAGAAGACAAGACATGAAGGAATTATGGGTTTTTATGAATCACCTTAAATTGAAAGTTTTGTTTCTTCCATCTCACGCCCATTGTGTGTCTTAACAAAGCAAACAGGAGTGGTGCCTGCCCTGGTAAGGACAGAGTAAAGGTCAAGCAGAAAGGAATAGAACCCTTTATTTCCTTTTCTGCTGGAGATTAGTTTGGTTAATGAACACTAATCAACATGAGTTTTGGTCAATCAGACCTTGCAGGTTAGCAATTAAACCTTGTTATATCACAGATGTTTACAGAGACATAAAACCTGAAAGCAGAGCAGTTACCAAACTCTAGGTACAGGAACAGAACAACTCCTGTGAAAATAGAACTAGTTTCATTCATTAATTCACTAATTTCTATTCACTAATTCACTATTCCCTAATAGTGGCTACTTCTGCCCACTTGATTCTCCCCAGTTGAAAAAAAAAAAGGTGGTGAAAGGAGCATATCTGTTTTTATAAACGTATTCACTATACAAACATATATAGTTCAGATTCTAAAACACTAAGCAAACTAAAAGTTTACATGTAGTTAACTACTTTATGCAAGTTTTTAAATCCTGAGACTCAAGACAGAAAGTGACTATAAGTCTTACCAACGTATTTGATGAATTGTAATCCTCTGTTGATTTATCTGAAAGAGACAGACAGTAATGCTGTTATAAAGTAGTGGTAAACGCAGCAGCAGTGGGGAGAGGAGAAAGGGACAAGCTCCCTTCAGAAGAGGCAGGAAAAAAGGCTGCTTCCAAACCCAGGCATTAACTTCAGCTCCCCAGAACAAGCTGCCACCTGGCAGACATGGGAATAGAGGGTAAAAAATTCTGCAGATAAATACAGGGGCCCCAAATCCCTGCTGCAGGAGGGCAGAATTTCCCAGAGCAACGCCTGAATGACTACCATCCTCCATCCACATACACAAAATATTTTCAATGGTCTAAATCACCAGCAGAGGCACTGCAGCTAGCCCAAGACCTGCAAGACGTTCAGTCTCAGCCACCTAAACTTCCTGGAATAGCAACAGAGGACCCCACGAGTCAACTGATGAGCTTCTAGCACATATGGGGAAGGTTTGTGCTTTTATCCCTGCCTGGAGCCTTCCTAATGAACATCAGTTCTGGTGACACGGCTCTGTGTCCTCTTCAAACGAACCAAAGCAGGGATTAATATTTAGAAAGGGAAGAGCTGGAAGGGAAAAGGAGTAGTGGTTGCAGAAGTCCTCCAGTGGGCAGGTAATCCATACAAATGTGCCACAAAACCTTGGCAGCTTTGATTTTTAGAGGAATCCAGCCAGCAGTTACCAAGCACCAGGCAGCTGAGGCTTATCCCTCAACCATGGCACACGGGAGCAGAGAGACCCTCACCCCAAGCATGCACAAAGCCACGCTCACACCCACGGTGGAAACTGAAGCTGGTGTAAAATTTAGCTGCCTGTTTTCTCCAGGAATTTTCATCACTAGGAACCCAACACCAACACTGGGATCTGACTTCCAGATGCTGGCTGTAAGCTTCAGAAAACTTAGGTGTTTTGGGGATTTAGCAGTTGACTGACCTCCTCTCTTGCAGCTATGTTTGGGCATCAGGATTAACAGAACAGCAGTTTAAAGGAAGAGGGGTGCTTGAGCAGCCAGAGAATCTCATTCACATTTTCCTTGGAAATCTACTTGCTGATGAAACAAAAGAAACCCCACGTGCAGTGACTAATGGCAAGCTGGACAAAGCAGCCGTATGAGACAGTCACCACGTACCTGTGAAACTCATGTACTTCTGGCTGTTGGAGATCTTCTTGGAGTTGTAAAACTCCAACACGTCCAGCACTGCCTGGGGGTTCTTCTTCTGCTCCGACTTGGTGATGTTGGAAGTCTGCAGTAAACGGGCCCATTGCTCCGGCATTCCCTGGGGGGTGACATGCCTTGTTAGCTCATGGTCAGGTTAACAGCACACCCCCCAGCTGCCCCAGTTCTGCCAGTTTCTGGGATTATGTGGTGCTATGAGGGAACTGGGGAGCAAAGAGGAGAGGAGAGGAAAGGAAAAGAGGTGGTGGATTGACACCTTCCTAGCCACTGCCTGTGTTCCAAGTCACACGTTCCTCAGGCGGACGTGGAAATGCCACTTTGCTCACAGGGCTCTGGGCGACTTCCAGGTCCTTTGAAGACCAAAACTCAAAAACCAGCAAGGAGCAGACCCAAATGCTGCAGTTCAGGAAAAGCCTCTCGCAAAAAAACCCCACGCTCTTATGCACAGGTATACATGTATTCACATATATCCAAGAAAGACTATAAAAGTAACATATACTGTACAGCATCTAGCACAATGGACATCCAACATTCATTTGTGTCATCTTGTAGCACTAGAGTTCTTTGATAATAGCGGTTTGGTGCCTACTGTAACCAGAGTTGGGAAAGCACAGACCTTAACCTCACATATGAAGGCTGGAATTTCATTACAGGGACATCACTTCAGCCAGAAAATAAACACATCTGGAGTACAACCAGACTTGTGCCTTTTGTCACCAGCAAGAATAACAGGCTTGACAGACAAACTGGCAAGTGACTGGGATCCTTTATTAATGAAGTTACCCTCCCTGCTCAAAAAGATGGCTGGATACACCACTTAGGTAATGCCCACTGGTACATCTAGGTTAACTTCACAGAATCACAGAATGTCAGGGGTTGGAAGGGACCTCGAAAGACCATCCAGTCCAACCCCCCTGCCAGAGCAGGTTCACCTACAGCAGGTCACACAGGAACACGTCCAGGCAGGTTTTGAATGTCTCCAGAGAAGGAGACTCCACAGCCTCTCTGGGCAGCCTGTTCCAGGGCTCTGTCACCCTCACAGGGAAAAAGTTTTTCTTCATGTTCATGTGGAACCTCCTGTGCTCCAGCTTGCACCCGTTGCCCCTTGTCCTGTCACTGGCCATCACCGAGAAGAGCCCGGCTCCATCCTCCTGACTCTCACCCTTTACGTGTTTATAACCATTGATGAGGTCACCCCTCAGTCTCCTCCAAGCTCAAGAGACCCAGCTCCCTCAGCCTTTCAGCATAAGGGAGATGCTCCACCCCCTTCATCACCTTTGGCAACTAGGGCAAGCCTAGAGCCTGACACGCAAAACACAACTGTACACGTGACTGAGGTGAGGAGAGCACAGTCCCTGAAAAAGAAGCATATTAAAGACAGGGAAAAACAGCTTGCTCACAATTTCAGCTGGTATTAAGTACTACCTCATAATCAAATTAAGAATAATAATACGATGAAATACAACTCTGTCTTCACTGTATTTTGCACGTCAATTAAAAAAACAACATAAAAACACCTGACATTTAGCCTTAGGACAGCACATACATATTCTGTCCTAAGTAGTTATGCAGAGCTGTGAGTCTCCTAAGCGGGAACTCTTAGAGCCCCAGTTGGTGGACACAGACTATTCCGTAGACCTAATCCAGCTCTAGAAGAGGAGGGGAGGGGAAGGGAGGAGAGATATACCACGTTTTGTGGTCCACATCAGACAAAAAAAAACGGGAAAGGGAAAGTTTGCTGGCAGCCTGGGCTCCCGGGATGTGCCAAGTTCGACAAACAGTCTCTCAGCGGGTATTAGTGGGTAACCTCTGCAGACGTGTTTCAAAGGAGATCAAACTAGATGATGGTAATAACCTTTCCAGCATTACTATATAAAAGATTAATGGTCCTGGCTCCTCCCAGCAATAAGCCAGACCACACAGTTCTCTTTTCCTCCGGATTCACTTACTGTGAATTCTCCCGTGACTGCATCAAACCCCACATGAATCGTGTGTTCAAAGTCTGAAGGAAGGGAGATCTCCGGCCGCTCTTTCTCTTTCTTTTTATTGGCTGAAAGAGACGACAACCACAAAATATCCATAAATCCATCAAGAATTAAAATCTCCCTAGTAGCTTCCAATTTACCTACCCAATCAAGCCCCCCTTTTGCTCGTCACAGGATTTCAATCTGGGGCAGCCAAACAGCAAGTTTTAAAACTTTGTTACCTCACTTAAGAGCAGCCACAGTGAGCGGACAACAAAAAACAAAGTCCTGTAACATAGGACAAGTGTCAGACAAGGAAACTGATATTTTGGGTATGTCAAGCATCAACCAGCAGAGCTAGGCTCAACAGCACAAGAGCTACTTACCTAAAATATTCACTCAGAACCTATACAGGCCAGAGTCAGAAGCACTACAGTGGCAGTAAGTGGAAGCCATGCAGTTTTGAAGACATTTTTTTATCCATTGTTTTAAGTAACTTTTTAAAAAAATATTCTGTGCTGTTACATACACACTCACCTCATTAATACAGAGACAAAATTAACTAGACACGCTGCTTATAAATTGCTTCCTTCATCCTACTTCCTCAAAACAGAGTTTATGAAGAAAACCAAATATAACATGTGCTTCAGCTACAAAATCTTACATGAGCAAAACCATTCACATTTTTCTGCTCACAAAATGAGCTAAATATGGTTTTAATAACAAGCTTTGAAGACACAGAGCAAGAGGGCAGAATCCAGCAGGTGAGGAGCAGAAGTCATGAAGAAACAGGCAAGGAAATAAATCAAAGCAGATGCACTGTGCAAATTTTAAAGTCAGGTCTTTGAACAAGATTTTCATCATGCCTTGGATTAAGTGACATATTAAGGGCTCCACCTTCCTTTTAATATTTACTGTATTCAAGAAATCGAGATCAGTTTAAGGAAGAACCATGTTCTACTCAGATTTGCTGCTGCTTGCTGTTATAAAATACGTAGAGCCAGGAGAAGGTGACTAAACCACTTACGTTTCCCAGCTGCTACCTTTCGTATCTAAAGCCAAATAGAATTTGTTTCGTGGCTGACATTCCCCAGTGCATTTTTGGCAACACGAATGCCAAACCCCAGGTATTTCAGAAACCTAATGCTTAATATTGCAATTATTTAAGACACTGCTGGTGTTAGTTGTGTAGAGATGTTCAGCCCTTGCCCCAAAGGACCAAACCCTGTTTCCTTCAGCGCCAGCTCTGGCACTGTTCTCCGCGTCACTGCGGAGTTACTGTCGCACAGAGTAATTTTGGGGAAAGAAAAGGCTCAGGTGCTCCGTTTGGGACACGAAGATGGAGCAGATTGTTGTCGATCCCTCTTTCAAACGAAGAGAATGGGGGAAGCTGAATCGCAGAAGAGCGACAGAGTTGCCAAGGGGAAGGAGGAGAGAAAGCTGCCATGCTGGAGGAGCCATCACAGAGGGGGGAGCTAGAAGGGGTCAGGAGCAGCTCCTGGTCAGCAGATGGGGAACATCTGCAGCACGGAGGCCTGGCAAAGAAGGAACAAGCAGCTGCATCCAGCAGGTATACAGAAAAAGCCGCATGCACCAGTGGTGGATGGAAAGCAAGAGGAAAAAAGGTGCAGAGGGAGCCATCGGAGGTACCACGTTCTACAGGCCTGTCTACAGGATCAGCCCATTCCTCCAAGCCAGAGAGGAAGGCGTCAGCTCAGCCCAGAAGCCCATCACTCAGGTGAGGAAGAGGAGGTCACCTGTACTAGCACCACTATGCAGCCATGCTGCACGGGTGTTGCACCTCCACAGAGAGGCCAGGACGACTCCACAGGAGACTGGAACGTATCCCTAAAAAAGCTTAAGGGCATTAAGTTGCTACCCACAAGTCAATACACATAGGTGGGTTTTTTATTTCTGTTCAGACAGCCCGAGCTCCCTGCCACACACCCAAATCTCAACAAACTGCTCTGCAACCAACTGCTCCAGTATCCATTCAACCAGCAAACTTGGAAGACTGCTGACTGCTAACTTATCCAGAGCAGGAGACGATGGCCTGAACGAGCCTCAGCTACACAGAGCAACGACAATAGTTCTGGAGGGACTGGTTAAATAACGTAATGTCCTCCGTCACATCAACACTCCAGCTCTCCGTTCACGTTCAACACGCAGGCAGAGTTTCAGCATGGCTAAAATGCAGCCTAGAAACACGAAGAGATTTTTTTCTGCACTTATGACTTACATTGTCTTCATACCCCTGAAGCAGCTAATGTTCTCCCAATTATCTTAGCTTCCTGCAAGCATTTCCTACAGCATCTCAACCTTTTGCGTTTTCCCTGACTCTCAACAACTCTTCGGGACAGCTACCACAAACTCACGCTAAAGTCACTTTGCCTTAGCAATAACCTTACAGCAGGTGGAACCATAATTGCTCTGTACGCTGTTTTAAATCTGCCTGCCTGCCTGCCACCCTCAGGGTTTTCTAGCACCCAGGCTGCATTCACCATCAAGTGAACGCACATGAAGCTGGCGCATAAATTCAGAGATTTTCCTCCAGCAGTCTCGGAGGACAACGAACTTAAGAAGCTTTTGATCCAAAATCTGACAGATCTAAAAGCCTAAACTTATTAAACCGTTAATAACATAAATGCTTTTTGTAGCAGATATTTATGTCATAGCAGAAGCTATAAGATAAAAAGAATTAGAGACGGGCACTCCCAGTCTTGCTGAACACTTAATCCCCTTCTACAGTGATTATATTATTCCTGCAATGAGTCAAAAAGCCTCGAAGACTCTTAAATTTAAAAAAAAATAAATAAAAGAGAAAGCATGTATCTGTTTAAGAACGCCTACCTCCCACCAAGTGCTTTATTCCCACAAATGCCTTACCACCTCACATGTTTGATGCTGTTACAAGAGCCACCCATGAAGTTTCCTTATGATGCTCTGGCAACTTGAGCTGCAACTAGGAAGCACAATATCCTTACTGTGAAGTAAGCCCGAGGGCCCATCCTTGAAGCATACTGAGATGAGAAAGGTCTTGTCCACTGGTAAGGTTGAGTAAAGTGCTCCCCTTGTCACCACGGAAAGGGCTCCCAGGCATTGCAAACGGTCACCTTGTGGGTAAAACCCTGCCTCTCTGCAAAGCTGCAGCTGAGCTCAGAAAAGCTCAAGAGGAGGGAAATACGCCACATTCAAGCCAAATTCACACCCTCAGCTAGGACCCTGATGAGCCCTGAGCCCAAGAAACCTCAGATGTTCACAACTCCTGTTCAAAGCAACAAGTCACACAAGCTCTGCATCCATTTGGAGAGGACCCACCCGGTATTAAGCCACCAGGTTTTTTAAATGCCAGTTCGGGGGTTTAGGCTGGGACAGAGGAAATCAGGACCATAAATTATACCCTAAATTTTGCAGCCAGAGCATGACACCTCCAGAGCAGCCTGGCAAGGGGACATAGCTCAACAGAAGCGTGCAAACACGTATGAGGCCCAAGATTTAAGCCCCGTGTGTCCTTTACACCACGGCTCTGCTCATGCACAGTGGTAGCACAATGGAAAAGACACTTTCCAAAGCACCTTCAGCTAGTGCTGCCCTTCTTGATGCAGCAACCTGCAAAAGATGCCCTCAAGATGTCGCTCCTTGTTGGCCTCCCCTCTGATCTGGACCCTCAAGCTCTCAACAGGTCTGTCACCTGCTCCACACCACGACTCCGTGTGTTCAAGCTGCACCTTTGCATAAAGCACAACCCCTTCATCATCTTTCCCACTCACCCTTTATAAAGCTCCAGTACTGTTCCCTGCCCAGAGTAAAGAGCTACCGCTTCCCCAAAGGGACTGACAGCATCAACTTCGGCAGCTCTCAGGCTGCAGCATCAAAGCCCAAATCCATATTTGCCAGCAAAATTAACCGCTGAGCACTTCAGATCTTTGCAGGCTCTTTGCAACCCCAGCAGAGGTTAAACACAAATCACTGGCTTCCCTGGGTAAACATCCAAAGATCATGGATTTGCCCAAAATTACATTCCTCTACTTGAATGGAAACCAACTCCACTTTTAGTCCAGCCCAACTAACAAATAACACACAAATTATTTCAGGCACCAGCCAAAGAAAAGTGCCTGAACACCTGGTAATTTCATTAACATTTAAGCAGCAGGAGGCACTGGGAATTCAGTTGTCATCACGAGATTAGAAGAAGTTTTCATGAGATGAAAATCGACCAATCTGAAGTGAAGGTGACAGTGTTAAAGGTATTTTTTTGCTCGACAGGAATAGAGGACAGAAGCAACCATTCTCGTTCAGGCAGGTGTATTGCAACAGAAGGCTCTGCTGGGCTTGGCTAAACAAAAATCTCTCGTGTTTCGAAGCATCTGCCACGTTGGCCAATCTTCAGTAAATGCAGGCATCTTCAAATCAGCGGCAGTCTGTCTGTTGATTTTGCCCAAACCGTTCACTTTTGCAGCTCTCCTTTAAAATCCAGTTCAAGCTCGCGTTTCCGGTTGTATTTCTTTTACTCTCTTACAAATTTCATGTGATTTCTCTGCAACTGGTGAGCCCAGAGATTTCAAATCCCCCCTCCCTTAAGTAAGCCAACACAAAAATCCTGCAGGTTTTTAGGATTTATAATGGCAAGTTCTAACGGAGATCCGGCAAACTTTCAACATTGAGTTCATGGGTTTCTGGATTGCAGAATCAAAAATCTACGTTTGTATAATAATCCAAAGTTGCCAAAAGGTACCAGATAATCATAATGAATGCTGCAATATTTTGTAGGAAACGAACCTACATCTTACTTATTTAAGTTGGTGAAGCCATCACTCCAATCAGTCTTTTTGCTAACAAAAATTATGGAGGCAGCCTCCCTCCTGAAGATACCTAGGCTTGACTTCATACCCAGTGTCCAGACACCATTGCCATGCAAACTCTACAAAAAGCTGATGTATTAGAAAGAAGAACTCCAAAAAATAGGTCAGATATAAAAAGAAACTAGCACATATTAGGGGACGGAGATTTTTTTTTTTTTCCTTACATCACTTCAAAAGATTCATGAGAGTTTTTAAAATATCCTGATCTTAAAAATTAGAATTTCATGTACAGTTCACAGTTCCCATCTCCATTTCCATCTGTTAGTCACTACCACATGGAAAATTCCTTTAGCTCACGAGAAATATGCACGAATTTGCAGTAACCGATTATTCTTAACAGCAAGTAGACAATGCCTGACCCGCACGCTAGAACACAGTAAGTGACCATGCAGTAACATATGACAGGCCTGGCAGGAGATGGCCTGTTAGTCACGCTTAACTCAAAATATTTGCTGTTTAAAACAACAAACAAGCAAAAGACCTCCCCCTGCTCCCCACCAAAGGAACTGCCAACGCCAGCTTTAATTGGCCAGTTTGTAATTGATACAATAATTCATGATTTTCAAGACCACTGAAGACAATCCAGGCTGGGAAGTGGCAGAGCTAGTCCCAGTTTTCAGGGGCACTGTTCTCATAATTTAAGGAGAAAAAAAAGAATTAAAACAAAAAAAGGCACGAAACAGCATAAGCAGGGTGGATTAAATGTGGCAAGATTAATCATTAGAAAAAAACAGATCTACAACCAGCACCTTATGGTGCTTCAGGTTTTAGGAAACAGTGTGTGTTGTACCCCAAAATGTCATTTTGGGGTACAACACACACCATTTTCTAAAACCTAAAGCATTGCTAAGCATCAGGTGCTCAACTAAAAGCAACATTCATGTTTATAAGAAGAGACAATACACTGTACTTTTATCTCCTGGTAAAATAGCTCGGTAAAATCGGTCCTTCCTTTTCTTTTCTTCTGGGTTTGGAGGCAAAGGTTTTGAGCCATGGTTTAAAGTCCCAGCATCTTTGCTTCCCGATCCAATCATAGTGCTAGTATTTCTCATTGGAGGAGCAGGCGGTTTGTCTTCTGCTTCAACTCCATTGTTCGACATCTTCAGCTGGGGAGGCCGTTACTAGGAACAGGAAAAAGAAAAGAAATAAGAAGCCTCATTTACTTATTTTTTTGTAAACTAGAATCAGAGACTGTCAAGTAAACCACAAGCAGGTATTTGCAGATGAGCCTGCAACCTCATATCAACACAGACCCAGTGTCAGCACAACAAATTCTACCCAAGCTACAGATTTTTTTCTGTCAACAAGACAGTTGGTTCAAGCCTTTTGAGTTATTGACCCTTAAGAAATGCCTGTTTCAGGATACAGATAATACTCAAGCAAACTATGGAGCAGAAGTGCAGGGTGGGCAGGCAGAGCAATAAATACGAGGTAGCAAAGAGCAGGGATACCCAAGAAGAGCCAACAAGTTGCCAGGCTCCTAAGACCTCTCAGATCCATGCTAGATCCTCTAAAAACTACATCAAAGGGTTTGCATCAGTCTCCAGCACAGCATGATATAGAGAGACTGAAGTTTGTGCTCAAAGAGGTTTGATGCAGCTGCTCAAGTTCCTTTGCTAAAAAGCTGCTGAAGTGGCTCAGAGGCAGAGACGGCCGGGAAGCTGCGGAGCTGTACCCACGTCACCTCAGACGCAGCGCCGTGGCCCTCGCTGGTCCCCAAGCTGGCCCAGGCCCTTCCACGGCAGCGGCACGCTCCAGGCACAATTCAAACTGGTGGAAAGTTGCCTGCATTTTGTTCCGTCGGAGGGGTCAAACAAAACGAGATCCCCAACACACACGTAAATCCTTAAGTAAATAATCCCTGCTGCGGGGATTTAAAGACGGAAGCTTTGGAACAGGGTAATAGATTATTCGGCAACAACTAGCTTGTTCCACCCAAATGAGATCAGCGTTACTCCAGACGCAGGCTGGCTGCAGCAAGATCCTTCTGGAAACTGGAATTTGCCTGTGTTACGTTCTCCAAGTTGGGAGTTAACTGCAGAACAAAGGCCAAATCAGGAACAGCTTCGGTTTGCGTGCAAGAAGCAGTTCCACAGCTTTACAAGTTTCAGAAGCAGTAAGGGAAGATGTTTCGCTCGGGGAGCGTTACTGGGTGGCAGAAAGTCCAAAGCAGTTTGCTCTCCGCAAGCGAGAAGTCCGGTTAAAAGCCGAGATCACTGCTGGCTTGCAGGAAGCTGCTTTTCCATAGGATGGGACTCCGAGGAACCACACTGGGTCACACTCCAAACAGATCCCCCAGCCACGCCACGGTCCTGTGACGGCATTCCACCCAGCCAGCCTTCAAAGTCTTCTTTGGCCAAGCTACTGATGTAACTAGCAAGGTTCGGACCCAGGACACACTGTTCTCACAGCTGAGGGGAGCTAAGAAAGGCAAACGCTGCCTGCAGCAGGCACTCAGCAGCACCATGTCGGACTCAACACGTTAGACTGTGCTGAAAGCAGCGGTTCCCTAGCTGTCACCTGCCAAGCTGTGGCTGGCCTGCAACCCCACCTTTCTCCTCCACTTATTTGGATACCCAGGTTCTTCACAGTTGCTTTTAAAAACGGGAGGGCTGGCAGGATTGCGCAGCCCGCACGGCTTTGGAGACGCCCTCGCGCACAGGGAGCTTTGTCAGAGGTTTGACCCCAACCCCGCTTCCTCCCAACGCAACTGTGCAATGGAATTTTAAACGACGGGCTAGCATTTGGGGTATTGATTTTAACAGTGGGACACTTCTGGCATTTGGGAGGGGTGGGGGCAAATTAGCTGTGCATTTGTCTGGGTGTGTTCTGGCATGTGCCCTGTGCATCTCCCACCACCCATGCTTCAGCCTCCCACCATTCTCCAGTACAAAATGGAGCAGAACTAAGCGACAGCTGGAGTGCCAGCCACGAAGTGGTGTGAACGACTACTCTCTACTCTCCCTGCCTAAGCAGTGGGGAAAAAAAAAAAAAAGTCTAAACTAAACCCCAACTGGTAAATTTGGCAGCCACTGCCGCGCACATATCTTGTGCAACATGAAGATACCGAGGCCTCGCTGATGGGCTTCACATATCACGGTGTCAGTGCTTGGTACACAAGAGTTGCATTCTTTGCACCGATGCTTGTTGAACCATGAGAAAGCAAATCGTTGGGACGGTGCTAGGAATATGCTACAAGTAGGGAAGCAGAAGGAAAAGGAATGTCAGCAGCTCTATGCCTGCCCAACAGCCTTCCCCAGGAGCAGCACCACGTTTGCTGCTGCAACACCCTGGTTTACCCCACAGGGGTTTGAATAAAGGTGGATCCAAAGATTCCCCCAGCGGCCAGACGTCCTGGAGTTGCAGGCATGGCTGAGATGGCAGGAGAGACTGACTCATTGCTGAGTCCTTCTACCCACTGAGCAGAGAGGTGGGCAGGTGAGAATCAGTGCTTGCTACCTGCTGTCAGAGGCACAGGACTAAGCAGGGGACAGAGTAAAATTCACTGTATTGGGGAACGGATGCCACATCAGACCGAAGGGCGGTACAAGGAAGAGAACAGAGCAGCACGTGGTTCCAAGCTGGAGAAAAAGAAGTGAGAAGAGGAAGAACACGCACACACCGCCCGCCACAGATTATAGGCACAGGCTGAGGCTGGCCTAGTGCTGGGGGAAAAAGAACATAAGCAAAACAAAAAACAAAGCAAAACAAAACAAAAAAGCATCCTCACTCTCAGTTCCACCAGTGCAAAACCCCAAGACATCTGCTCCCAGCTTCTTCAATATAAGAGAGATTTTCAAAATCCCTCGGTCAGAAAGGATAGAGCACAAGTGAATTACTGCTTTACTGCAGGGCCAGAAACACTGGCAGTACAAGCTTTTGTTTATCCTACATTACTCCCCGAATGAGCAAGTAACTGCTGAGAAGTTCCACAGTTTAACAAACAATATTGTTTCACACCTACTTGATAACTGCAACTTTCATGCGGGTAAAGCCCATAGTATACCCTCTCCTTTCTTCTCCATCGCGCAAGCCCCCAGACCTTCCTCCTCATCAAAGTCTTAGTTTGGAGTTACAACCTCTATTTAATCTGGTTGGAGATGGGTGTGTGTGTGTGTGTGTGTGTGTAAGAGAAACCCTTCAACCCATAAAACTGAGTGACTGGTTTAACAGAAGTTATCCCCTGTAGTAGCAGCCCTATTTTAGAGACTTTCCAGAAGCTTTTTCCCACTACATATTTAATGGGAAAACCAAAAACCTGCTTACATGAGTTCTCCCAGTGATACAGGGACACAGTCTATCCCCAATCTCAACATCACTGTACTTTAAACTTCTGTTGGCTTCAAAGTGCGTAGATGAAACCCTGTCCTGACTGAATCGCACCCGCCTCTCCAGGGCTTTACAGCAGAGCTGAGCCCTCAGAGCACAGAGCCATACTGAGTGGCTACAGAGGCGTCCATCTCCCTCACCGTGGCCTTGTTGACTGGGCAAATTCTCTTCTTCCAAAACCACTCTCCTGCCAATTCACACACAAGCAGACTTTAAACAACCCCTCCAATGCAGAGCATCAGGCAATTGCTTCACCAGCCAGCACATCAGGGCCATGACACTGAAGTGAGCCACGCTGCTTGCGCGACCCGTCCTAACAGGAATGCAAAGTGTCACCGGACCAAGTTAGTTCCTACTTCACACCAGCATGACTGTGCTTTGAGAAATTCATCTCATGTTTCCACGGCAGGATTAAGTGAACAGTGGAAGCAATGAAACAGCCCATGAACTTTTCAACTGCAGTCAGACGAGGGAATACATTTTAGCTGCAGAGACAATTATTCTCAACTACTATATGTATAAAAATACCAGCACCCAAACCAAACCCCACAGACACCACTAGGAAGGCATAGTCATGATGTAGGGCTATTGTTTCTGCAGCCATCTGGGAGTACTGAAAGTTCGGGTTGGTTCAGCACACAGTACTGACGGAAATACAAGTTTTATTACATACTGCAACCTATGACTGCCGTTAAGTCAAGTTACAGAGGTCTTCAAATGCTCCCTTCCCCTCCCCATCAACTTTGGATGCCCATTACCTAAATTAGATTACCCCAGGCTCCACAGAGTCAAGCAGCAGACCTGACAAACTCTCACACCCACAAAACACTCCTGCAGGCAGGCAGGAGTGACAGACAACCACGCACAAGGGGACGAGAGACTCAGGAAACCACTTGGCAGTCCACGACAGAGCAAGCGGCGGCATTGAACGGAAGATGGCACCCACCAGTGCCAACAGCAGCACCCAAGAGTTCAGAGTACACAGACATGCAAAGATCTTAAGCAGAGATGGCTCAAAATCATGAAGTCTATGCCTGTAGTTTTCCTGTAAGACAGGCACAGCTCCTGAGCCGTTCATCTAGCAGAGTGGGACCCCAACATATGTGGAGCCTTCTGGCACTACTGTGTGTAACACACAGGCACACAAAAAAAAAAAAAAAAAAAAAAAAGAGAATAAAGATGCTCTATTTATGTCATTTTTCCTTCTGGTAAACCACATCATTTCAAACCTGATGCTCCACACTGAACTATAGGTTTCTATCAAGCTGGTTGTGTTTTCTTTGCATTCCTCAGCAAGACAGGCAGATGACTGATTGCTAAAACAGAAAGCAATTAGAAAGTCAGAGAGCTGAAACCTACGCTACAGTAGATGCCATAAAGATAACTATGTCCAACGCATGCTAATTGCTGGAGTCAACATGAAAACTCATAAAAGAGCTGTCTATAATTCATGCAGTCTGGCAAGGCAGTAGCTGTAAGTTACTCACTACAGTTGAATAAACTATATTAAACAAGAGAGCAGGGAGGGAGATGCTCAGCAACTGTTTTTCTCTCTGTGTCTACTACCTCAAGGAAATCTCACATTTTTCCAAGATGCTATTTTTCTGCTGTTGCCAGGGTGAGGAAAGGGTGTCTTGCCCACAAAACAGGCAGAAGGAGTCTTGACCTTTCATTGAGTTGATCCTGATCAGAACAGCTGTTTTACCGTTGCACCAGCATCCCTGCACCCATCCACCCCACGGCTAGAGATCGCTCACGCACACACACAGTTAAAGTCTCCTTTCTCCTTGCGCTGCCCGGGTGGGAAGGAGCACGGGCTGTCCCCTGCTCTGTTCAAACACATTGCAAGCAGCAGATTCCCTCCCCGTGTGTCATGCTTCTCTGAAAATCAACAGCAGAATTCACCAGCCGGGTTTTGACACAGGATGAAAAGACGCTCACTCGATTTTTCTTTATTACTTTACGCGGGACTAAGTCTCAAACGCAGTCTCACATTGCAGTGAGGGCACCCCACACACGTTCCACCTGCAAAAAGAGGCAAGAATTGTCCTTTTCCTCCACCCGACGTTGGATGGGATCTGGGACACGTGCTGTCACACAGAGAAAAGGGCAGCGGCAATACACACTCCCTGAGGGACGACAGACTGATTGTCACATTTAGAGCTGATTAAAAAGCCAGAAATGGTACCATCTAGCTGTCTCCCCAGCCAGCTACTGCACCTCTGAGTGCTGGGCAAGTGTGCCAATTAAACGAAAATAAGTCAAGGCCACCAATGCATCAGCCCACACCCAACATTTACATGTGAATTAAAAAAAAAAACAAAACTCCAGGTTTTCATAAAGTTCTAATAAAGAAAGAATTACAAAACAGCAGTTTTCGCTCATCTGTCTTCAGAATTTACCTGTTGGGCACCCTGCAGGTGCTGCCAACGCCCAGAGATGCAGATGAAATTGCTAAATGAAATGAAACAATAATCACTACAAATGAAACAATAATCACTACAAATAAGCACAGTTTTAGAAGAGAATGCGGCCACTGTACAGCCAGAGTGGGTGGGTGTGAGGAGGGGGGAGGGAGACACACTCTCGTGGCAGATGGCCAACTCCTGGTTGCCGTCTTGCTCCACTGCCAGCGTTATTTCCATAGCGCTAGACACAAAGGATGACTGACCAGTTACAACTCAACAGGAATGCTGAAGGACTCCACGGCTTGCAATTTTGAAAGCCAAGAGACTGGAGGGTCCTTTTTTAAAAAAAAAAAAAGCCTTTAATTCAACCCCAACTGTTCGGGCTAAATGCAAGAACTGCCGGGTGGGGATCCCCCCAGCCCGTGTTTTGCAGGAGGACATGGACATCACTGCAGCAGGTGCTGCTTCTGGGCAGGAGAGCTGCAAAATCTCTTCCTGGGCAGACATACATGCAAACCCATCATATCGCACAGACTTGCTTCTAAAGAAGAACAGACTAATTATAACCGTTCGATTCCTAGCAACAGAGCAGAGTTCTCCTTTCACTCAAGGCAGCTTCTTTCTTTTTGGTTTTAAATAATCAAGGCCCAGCTTTCACCAGCCTCCACGGTGTGGGCCCATGCGTGACTGCTGGGACAGTAACCCAGACGCACAGAGGATTTCAGTAGCATTGAGGCAGGTCAAGCCCTTTCCACTGGATTAGGCTTGAATCCAAAACTCTGGAGAAGCAACGCCAGCTTAAATTGCCGTGTTTCAACTTAGCTTCCGTTGTTTCACAAATAACTAGCAGCATCAAAGAATAACCATCTCACAGCCAATGCCAGTTATGCCCAAGTACCTGGAGTCCACGACGAACTCGCCCTATTTGTGCTCCAGCTGGGTAACTCAAGCTTTGAGAGCTGCAGAGACCAGCTCCGCCTGCTGCCATCCCCAGGCAGCAGCCTGCTCATTTTGACCTAGCACTTACCCCATTTTAACAGCGCTTTTAAACAGCCCAAGAGAAATAAATTGCGTCCATATTTAAAAAAAAAAAATAAAAGAAAATAAAAGAAAATCCAAGCTGAGGGAGAAGGAACCAAGAGTATCATTTTTAAAAGCTCTCAGCCCACAAATCATCCTCTTTATTTCCTCATCTCCAGAAGGGCTGTCTCCCCTCCCCCAGTTACATGCCTGAACAAGCAAGTTCGCTGTTGCAGATGTCAGGACAGGCTCCTTTTTCCAGCCCGGTACAGAGCAGCCTTGGCTCCAGTTCCACTTTTGCTCACAGGAAGGCAGGGCTTCAAGTCAAAGTAGTGACTAGAGTCGGCGCTTGCTAAGCAGGGTGGGAAAAATAAAGGCCTTTTATGTTAAAGTATACCCAAAGCCCATATAAGCAGGTTTCCTGGAGGAAATCTGTGTTCCAGAGGAAATGACTAGATGCAGCATAAAGAAAATATATTAACACAGACAGTTAAACACACCCCCGCTACCCTCCACGTAAGTTACTTGGCTTTAAGTCCAAACTGCACATTAGCAGCAACAGCAACTGAAAGCAGCTGAATCATTAATCATTCTTCCATTCAAAAGTTGCCAATCCAAAAGATGAACACAGAGCACACGGCTCAGAATTAAGCTCCGCTATCCCCTAATGTGGAATAATTCCCAGTACAACGTATTCACGTTTTAAATACACCCAGGTATTTGCAAAAACTGCACCTTGTTACATGCAGAGATTGAACACCCGCCATTTAGCAATGGGGGCGGGGGTAAGAAGTGTGTCAGAAAACTAGAACATTGTCAGGTCAAGTCAACAACATCCCACACGCACAGAGGACACCGTAAGGCAGTGGTTAGCGAAAAGCCACGGTATGTAAACAGCAGAAAGTTTGCATTAACCTGTGAAAGGTGAGTTTTTCTGTGGAGAAGAGATACCAAGACAAGAGACCTGCAAAGAGGAAACCGATGTTCTTAAGAGCAAAACTCATTCAACTCCCTTCTCGTTGGGAAACTCAAGAGCAAAAAGACAACACGAGCATCGTTAGCAGATGAAGCCATCCAAAAGCCTCAATTAGAGGGAGTGGGAAACGCCACAACAGTTCAGCGCTAATTGGAAATGCAAACATTTATCATCAGAGTAGCACTCGCTCCTGTGTATAGCTCCATTGTGTTCACCGCAGCTAATGACAGTAGGAAGCTCTGTGCTCCGTAGTATTTATGTAACGACTGGCAAAGCTGTCACATTCCCTTAATTGCTCGCCAGGATTTTCATACTGGCAGTAGTTTTCAATTAAAGGAAATCGCAAAGATTGCTTCAGTTTCACATTGCTTCGTTAAAGTTTTGGTTCTTCTTCAAAGCTGGGGAAAGAGGAAGAATGAATAATTCTCCCAAGACAGAATGAGCTCTGCATCAAACATGAGCTTTTTGTAGACAAACTGAACTGAGAGACAAGGAAAGCACGGTCAAATACCCAGAACTGAAAGACCTAATTTAGCATCAGCAACCACAATTTAAGAACTGCACATAAATCTTCTTTCACGTTTGCAATGATTACTCCTTCAATTATGCTACATGTAATGCTCTAAAAGCATTTCATTCAAAAGGCAAACTGAAAAAGCCTAGGGTAGCTTAGGGTTTCCAGCTAATTGAGCTTTCACAGTAGAGCTGCCCTTGCTGGTAGAGCATCAGCTCTGTTTACAATTACAGGCCATCTACCAAAACGCCCTATTGTACCTACTTTATCATCCCAGTAAGTACAGAAGAATGCTTACCTGGCAAGGTCTTGCGTTCCTAGACTTCCTTACTTGTACCAAATGGACTGCAGAGCGCTCACTAATCCATTAAGAATCATCATTATTTAACTGAATGAGCAGCAGTTTGTTTTTAGGAGGTACCATCCGGCCTTTTATCACATCATTTACTCAGATCCCAATTATACTTTCTGTATGTCAGTAGAGAAAAGAAAGCTCTATAGGACCAGTACAAAGGAACTGCTGCTTCTGCAGTATATTACAACACAACTCTGCGTTAGCGCTCAGTTAAATAAAGCCCATGAGTCAAATGAACTATTTCTACTCCATTGAATAAAAGGAAATATAAGAACATCACTTATTATTGTAGCAGGCCCATTTTAAGGCACTATGTAATTAGGAGTAGGAGTTAATAACAGGGCCAGAAATAGGAGGCAAGGTTTTCCTCAACATCTCCGTGCAAGTCTTTCTGGGGCACGGATCTTCTTATCCTGTGTTCTTGCTACGATTACCTAAGCAGCTTTAAGTGGGACGCGTGGATCTTCACTGCTACCTATTTAAAACTCATTCTTTCTCATGAAGCTGCAACATCGGCTGCGGCCACAAAACCCAATCCAGCAGAGACTGATCGAGCTCCTATACACAGCCCTGTCAGCACCTGCAGCAAGCGACTTGCTTCTTCCAATCCAATTCCCAGTGGACAAGCATCTACATCATAAAATTAGCAACAATATGAACTGCAAATTCAGCAGAATTTGGATTTCACTGATGGATTGCCAGTATGCATGTTTTATTCATCTCAAGACTGCTTTGTCAGGTTGGTTGCATCTCCCCTCTGTATTTAAAATGCTAAAAATGATTTGATGGTCACGACTGAGCAGCCGAGAAGCTCCGTAGAGTGTTGTACCTACTCTAAGTGCCAGCCAAAACTCACCAGATTTCCAAAATGGAGACAACCACCAAAGACTGATGTTCTAGGAAGCCGTACGAATCAAGGCATTTTGGTTCAGTATAGTATTCCCTCCCATTGCTGTGAGTCACCTTGCTGAAGTCCCATGGCTACTTCCCACTAAGGTCACCAGCATGTGAATTAGCCTCCCTATGAGAGCACAGCAGCAGCAGATGCAGAGTTTTCTGATCATCCTGCCTGAATTCCAATAATTAATATTCAAGGACGTTCACTACCAGCACACTCTCGTAGAGGTTCCAGCTACCTACTCGTAACCCCAAAGCTTCCTCAGTGTTCAGACACTCAAACCAATTCTCACCCACTCACGTTATCTGCCTACACTCCCTCTCTCTCCTATTGTAAATCCGGGGCAAGAGAGTGTAAAATGAGATTTTTTTTATATATATATATTCCATAGCTAGCACACTACAATTTCACCTCTCACCTTTACAGTAACAGCTCTGTTCGCCATAAAAATGAGATACAAACAGGGCAGTCAGTTTTGGAAACAGCTGCTTCACAGCCCACAAGAACTCTCAGCGTTGGTCCCTCAGCACATCCAGGAGGAATGCCATGGGGCTGCACTTCCCAAACCGATTTTGCCCCATCCACTTCATCCACTTTTATGTCATTTACACCCTGCCTCATGGAAGTGCTGCCTCCCTCTTTACTGAGGTTACCACTGGTACACCCGCTGCGGCACAACCCGCGCTAACCTCCCCTTTCCTGATCTCACACTCCTCGCAGAGCGATGTGGTGAAGTGAAAGATGCTGCCTGTGGGAGAGGAGAGCCCGCAAATCAATTCAGACCAGAGTGTGACCATCAGGCTTAACTGAATTGCCTCCTTTGCAAGTATGAGGTTGCTTCTTCCCCTCTTTTCTTTCCAGTCCTTTCCTTTAAGCTGAGTTTTCCTCCATTCCTGGTTATTCTTGTACTGCTGGTATTAGCAGGTGCTGATTCACAGCCTCCCAAGATACACGTTTGGCTGCTTTTATTTTTAAGAAAGCCTAAGTCACTTCAGGCTGGAAATAACTCTTGTTTTTCTGTGAACACTCTTCAATGTGTATCTAGTTTTATCTGAGCAGCTTAAATATTCTACTTTAACAAAAGCCTCAAAGTTTTATCAGTCTCTGTTGCTCTATTAAAATGTTATAAACCAGAGGCACAAACTGGAGCACACGAGGGAAAACTTCTTTACTCTGAGGGTGGCAGAGCACAGGAACAGGCTGCCCAGGGAGGCTGTGGGGTCTCCTTCCCTGGAGATATTAAAGACCCGCCTGGATGCAGTCCTATGTGACCTGCTGTAGGTGACCCTGCTTTAGCAGGGGGTTGGACCAGATGATCTCCAGAGGTCCCTTCCAACCCCTGCCACTCCGTGATTCTGTGATTTGTGGCCTGCCATTGTGCCAGGTCCCTTTTAGCTTTAAAAACAGAAGTTGGATTTAAGCCTAATACATGTTCTTTAAACTTTTAACACTGTTTGAGTTTACATCCCCATAGGTGAAACTTCCCCTGAGGGTTTCAATCCTTAATAAAATTAGAAATCTGCAAAAACCTAATGCTTCCGTTCTGACAAAGCTGAACCGAGGTATCTCGGATAGAAGTGGTCCAATCCCAAATCATGACTTTTTGGAACGGGCTCTCAAAAAGCAGCCCTGAGCAAATCAACCCACAAGTCTGTCATTTGAATATCTTCTGTTATCAGCAGACAGCTTCTGTCTGAGATCCAAGATGATGTACTGTCTCCAGCCCCTG